CGGCATTTGCCAGTCCATGCCCGGTAAATACGGCCAATAATCGGCTAGCTCCGTAGTTAACAATGCTACCGGCATCCCGTGCACATTACCGCTCTCACTGGTTTTGTTAGTATTTAAATCAGCGTGAGCATCCACCCACACCACCGCCACATCCTGCCTTTCCTATAAAAAAAAAGTGTAACGTTCGGATTTAACGACTCATTGATTCTTCTATGAAAATATTTCCATTTTGCACACCTTGACATGTCCATCGATTGTACCGATGCTCAAGCTATGATCACCACCGATCGTTAATGCCTGTCTGCCGTCGCGTAACACTTGCCGAATTTGTTCGGATAAACTACTCATACAACTGGCCACATGACCCAAATGTGACATATTTTTTACGTCATCTATATTGTTTGCACTGTAGAACACATTGCCATAATCTCGCACGTCCAACTCTTTTTTTTATGAAATAAATATAAATTACGTTAACTTACGTACTTATATATAGGGGTTTTGTAATATATTTATATTTATAAAAAAGATAAACATCGCACATTGTTGCAGATTTACCTAATATTTTCAATTCGTCTACCAATCTTGCTGCTCTAATCGCCTCAGGTCCATGAGCTACTCCTTCCTTTTTCTGTAAAATTTATTGTTTTTATAACATAATACGCTTAATATTCTTTTCTTAATATATCTATTACTTCCATGAAGCTTTATTTCAGACATGTGCAGTATTGAAATTGTTTACTATTCTCTTTCGCATATTTTACATTTACCTGTCCTTTGTCAAAAGGTACTCCGATTATACCAACTTTTTCGCTGTAATAGCGAATGCCTAATTTACTAGAAATTGTACGAGCTTTAGTCAGCACATTCATTTTGAACTATGTTCTTTTCCTTACTGTCGAGTTATTTGCGATTACACATGAGAAACTAATCTGTTCTTTGACCTATAACTGCAGTCCGATATGGAAATCTTATTGACCCTATAAGATGGAGTAAAAAGACCACCAATGATAAATATGAGTAGTAGATACAAGTGTGTGTATATATATACACACAC